ATCTATTAGCATGGCTGAAATTCAGACTACAATAATGATGGTGAGGGCGTAGAGCAACAGAAACTCTCCAATACGGATGATAGGAATGCAAAATTATACAGCCACTTTTGAAGACAGTTTCTTATAAAATTATATATACTTTCCCCCACACGATCCAGAAATTGCACTCCTTGGTATTTACCCAAAGGACTTAAAAACTGATGTCCACACAAAATCTTGCAACAATGTTTACAACAGCTTTGTTCAGAGTTGCCCAAACTTGGATGCAGTGAAGATGTCCTGCATGGTGAATGGATTAGCTGTGGTACATTCCTGACAGGGGAATGTTATTCAGTGCCAAAGAAATTAGCTATCAAAGCATGAAAAGAAATGTGGAGGAGAAAAATATGACTAAGTAAAAGGCACCCACCTGAAAAGGCATATGTTGTATGATTCCAACTTTGTGACACTCTGGAAAAGGCCAAAGGGTGGGGGACACAAGGCAGTGAGTTTATAGCAGCTAACAACTGTAGGGCTCATGTGCCGGGGTTCATGTGAGAGGGAGCACAGAGGATTTTTCGGGCACTGAAAATACTCTGTATGATAGTACAGTGGTGGGCACCCACCATTCTATATTTGTTCAAACCCATAGAATGTACAATGTGTGTTCTGAGTGATAATGATGTGCCCATGCAGGTTTGTCAAGTGTGTGTGGAGGCAGGGGCTACATGAGAAATATTTGTAACTTTTTTCTGAATTTTGCTGTGAATCTGAAATTGTTCTGAAAAAAAAAAAAAGAGAGTCTGTTTAAAAAATTATAATAAATGTTCACTAAGGACCTAGCACCATGACGGAAAATGTATTCACATCAAAAATCCATGATTTTAAGGCTTCAAAACATTGGGACAAAGAAAAGCGGAATAGGGCAGGTGGTGGTTGGGAAGGAGATAGAAAAGGAGAGGGAGGAAAGCAAGGAAGAGAGAGGGGGAAAAGGTAGAACATCAAAGATCAAGAATTTAAAGGTTGGGGTTGTAGCTCAGCGATAGAGCACTTGTCTAGCATGTATGAGGCTCTGGGTTCAACCCAGCATCATAAATAAATAAGTACAGAAATAAGAATGGCACTGAACTTCTCAACAGCCATACCTGAGCTAAAAAGACAAAAGTGATGCCTTCGAACTTCAAGGAATTTCCAGCCTTATATTCTAGACACACTGTCAAATAGGGGTGAAGGCAGAACAGAGGTGTTTTCAGACCTGTGTAAAGAGATTTACTACTAATGCACTCCCTTCACAAGGGAGCCACCAGGGAAATGTGCTCTGCCAAAATGAGGCTACAAATCGCAAGAGGCCACCAAGTCCTGACGGCTACAGGGAGGGGACCGGAAGAGAGTGACTGGAGAAGAGGAAATGGATAGCACACCTGGTGTATTAAGCATACTGAGAAAAGATTTACACCTCTGAGACAGAGAGTTTGGGAATAGCTTAGGGATAAGTGAAGACGAAGTTATTCAACAAACCAACAAAAGACAATGATTAACCATAGGAAAGGTAATAACTTGTTCAGGACAAGGAATCTTTGCATATCATACCACTTAGCAGTACATATCAATTACGTGACTGGCAAATAATATAAACACTGAATATTAAAATATCCAAAATTACAAGACTGCTTTATCAGGAGGATTAGAGATTAAAAGGCTACATAAAATGTGTAATAGAAAAACACAAGAAGCAACTGCATAATCATGTAATTTAGAGAAAGCATATAAATACACCAAAACCATCAGTTTAAATCGTTGAAAGTGTTTCTCTTTGATGCAGGTGGAATGGGGGCAGCAGGAAGCTCCTGTCGGTATAGGATTCTGTTTGATAACAAGCTGCTATGGTTTATGTTGGAAATAATCCTAAAGGCAACAATGTTCAAAGGTGAGACCCTTTAGGAAGCGATTAGGTCCTGTGGTATCTGGATGTGAATGGATTGATGCTGGTGTTATGGGTTTGGTATCTTAAGAATGGGCTTGTTATAAGTGTGAGTTTGACCTTCTCCAGCACGTGTTCTCTGTTTCTTTCCCTTTGCCTTTTGCCATGGGGTGACACAGCAAGAAAGCCCTTGCCAAACTCCTTGGATTCCCCAGTCTCTAGAACTAGAGAAATTAATCTGTGTTCTTTACAAATCGCCCTGTCAATATCCGTTATGACTCCACAAAACGGACTCAGATGCACACTTTGCGGAACTACTCGATTCTTTAAATTAGATACCTCTTAAGCTTTGGCAAAAACAGAAATCAAATCTATCAAAGATGAAGAAGAAAATCAAGGCAGATTTTTTTTTTTATAAGCATGGAAAAATGATAGACTATCCACACCAGCCCTCCGGGGGACCTCAGGCTAGAGAAGTCAGACCCCATAAAAAAACCCAGCATGACTGAGTGGGGTTTTTAGCCATGACTCAAAAAATGAGACAGAGTCCCAGGAGTCAAGCCTCAGAATACCACATCCTGAATCAGAGGATTGTCAAGAGCAGATGTCACAAAGGCACAGAGTGACAGTCCTCCGGTTGGCACAGGGGCGGGGTTTTCCAGATAAGATAAAGAGGGTGGGTGAACTTGTTTCCATTTCCTCTTTTGTTGGTGAGGTGATTTTGTACTTGAAACCCAGCGTTCGTATTCATCTGCCGCAGCAAGCCTGGGTGGTTTAGAGGGCAGAGGTGTATTGTCTCACATTTCTGGAGGCGGCAAGTCCAAGATGAAGGCCCAGACAGGCCTCTCTTCCTGTCGTGCGGATGACCTCCTTCTTGCTATGTCCTCAGGTGGTCTTTCTTCTGCATGCCTCTTCAGACGCCCCGCCCCTTTCCCTTCCCATAAGGAAGTGCTATGGGATTAGGGCTCCACCCTAAGGACCCCATTTGACCTTCACTATCTCCTTAGGTACCCTATCTCCAAATAGGGTCACCCTGGGGATTACAACTTCAACATGGTTTTGGGGGGGGACATGATCCATTCCATGACAGTACTCATTTGCTATCCAATGTCTTAGGGGCAGAAGACTATGCTATGCCTCATGGAGGAAAATGCATGTTCTACAAGCTTCCCCGGAAGCATGAGGTATGGTTTACAGTGCTGTTGGCCATGAGTTGAATGCTAATGCATCCACGATGTATCTCAAACATGTCTCCAAATAGAAACACGTGTAAAACAAAGTTGTGTATTGATCGGTTGATGAAAATGTTGTGATCAGAGGCTCACAGGAACCTAACCCCATGTTTCCCCCGGGAGCAATGTTTTGGTATTTGCAAGGTTTGCAGTTGGTTTATAGCAGCTGACAACTGTAAATAACGAGAATCGGCTGTGCATATATTTCTTTCATCCTGCACTGCTTTCAGGTCACCTTTCCTCACACCACCACTGCCACCACCAGTCTGTTTATCCTGTGGCAGAAGACTGCTGTGTCGATGGGGTCGATGAGGGTAGCTCAGACACACAGAGGGGGAAACAAAGTTGAATTCACATGCTCTTCCCTGACCTACCTTTCTCTGCTCCAATTGCCGGACCCCAGCCTGTGCACTTGCTCCCCTTCTGGCTTGGAGGAGACTTTACAGTGTTCTCAGAGGTTCTCAGTTTTGTATTAGTTTATCACGTCCGTGCTCTTTTCTCTTCAGTAGTTCTATAACTTGCCACTTTTGGAGGAAGAAGCCAGCAGCACGATTTGGTTCGTTCCTTGCCAAAACTATCAGGAAGGATATGAGTAAGACGATGCAAGAAAGACCAACTGCAACTATCAGGTAAGAAAAACATAATAGCTGAAACAAAAGGCATAATATGCTGGGACAATCAGCAGCATAGATAGACCTTAAAAAATAAATTAAGAAGCTGTAAGATCATGGTGAAAATTTACGTAAGAAGGCAGGAGAAAGTATAAAGATATTTTAAAAGAGGGAGTGATAGAGATATGAAGGGTAAAAATATCAGCATTCTGAACCAGGCATGGAGGTGCAAATCTGTAATCCCAGCTCCTAAGGCCAAATTGGGCAGTTTAGCAAGACTCTGTCTCAAAATAAAATTAAAAAAAGGTTGGGCATATAGCTCAGTGGTAGAGCACTTGCCAGCATGCATAATCCCCTGGGTTAAATTCCTAACACACAAACCCCAGAGCTGAAATTCTATCTAGACTATATCAGTAAAATGTGTTGTTGTTGTTGTTGTTATGTATATTGGGGATGGAAGAGAGGAAGGAGAGAATATGCTAAACTATTTAAATTGTTGAGGGAAAGCAATAGATGTTGATAAATTTAATAGGAGAGGATGAATAAATAAGCAAATATGTGTCTTAAGAGCAACCACCAAACAAAATATCTTCTTTTAAGTCAGTTGAAGAAAATTATAACTACTCAGGTGAAAAATAATCAGGTTAAAAAATTAAAAAAAGGTATCAGCAATTAAATATGAAACAAGATGGAAGAAATTGTCCTAATGCAAAGTGAGTATAATAAATGTAAATGGGTTAAACAATCGATAAAATGACAGAGCATCCCAGACGTTTCAAAGGAGCTAACAATATCTTTACAGAAGATGCCTTTACCACAAAAGAATATAGAAAGTTTTAAAATAAAAAGATATCAAGCAAATATGATCCAAAAGAAAGCTGAAGCACCAATTTTAAAATCTGACGGTAGAAAATTCAAGGAACAAAGAAGAAAGTCATATACTGGTCGAAAGACTAGTAAAGCAAACGCATATGCATCTAACACACAGGACAAGGTGGTGGTCTTGAGAGGTGGGCTTCCTGCCAAGTTTACGAAGGGATTCAAGGATGACTGTTGGCTACACCATAGAAACACAGAAACATGGTTCCCTAGGAAAGCAGGAGAAAGAAAAGGAGAGAAATCTATGCTCCTTAGGGAGTGGGCCTGTCATTTGCATGTCATATCACTTACCTCTCAAGGGCAGAATCTTCTGGGAAGCTTCAGTCGGGAAGGTGGAAGGAGTGTCTCTTATATTTCATAGAGATTTGTGTCTCAGCAGGACCACGGAGAGCACATCAGTGTGATTTCTGTGACTCTAGGTAACCCTGCTGCCCACTAAATGGATCCCATGGCTGCGGGCGATAACTGAAATTCCGCTATCAAAGCTTCGTGTGTTTCAGTGTGAACTGGTGACGAGCCACCTGAGAGCTGAGGACTCCATGCAGGAAACACCAGATGGGTGATGAATTTCAGGAGGAACGTCCAGATGCTAACATTTCAGTGACTACAAATCCAGGCCCGTTTGCTCCCTGACCTTCTTTCCCTGAGCGAGGCAGGCATTCTAAGCCTGGGGAATACACGGTGTATTGTTTTTCTTGCATTTTCTCATCCGTGGCAAGTACATGGTACATAAGTAAGGCTGCTCACCATGGTTTTCACAGCACGGGTGCTGCTATGAAACAAATCTTCCAGAAGAGCGAAGGAGGTATTTTTTTTTTGAAGTCATTTTTTTGGGGGGCCATTTTGGGTGCCTAGCAAAATTGAGAGGAAAGTACAAAGATTTCCCATATTTTCTTGCCCTTATTTCCTCTGTTATCCACATCTCTGACCCTGGTGGCACATTTGTTCCGAGGATGAACCTACATTGTCATCCAAAGTGTACAGTCGGGCTCACTCTTGGTCTTGTATATCCTGTGGGTTTGGACCAATGTGTGATGAGATGTATCCACCGTTACAGTATCACAGAGAATATTTTTCCAGTGCTCTAAAGAGTTTCTGTACTCTGTTCACCTCTCTTTCCCCCCCAATCTCTGGCAACCCCTGATCTTTCTACTCTCTTCATAGTTTAGTCTTTTCCAGAAGGTCATAAATCAGGTAGCCTTTTCAGAGGGGCTTCTTTCACTTAGCGATGTGCGTTGAAAGTTCCTCCCTGTCTTTCTGTGGCTTGAGAGTTCCTTGCTTTCTAGCACTGACTTGTACTCCATTGTCTGGATGCACCACGATTTACTTACCCATTCACCTACTGGAAGAAACCGTCGTCATTGCTTCTAAGGTTGGGCGATGATGAATCACAAGCCAGGGGGCAGCCTTTCTTGGGGAGGAAGACTCTTTTGGTGCTAAAGGTCTGCTAGGAGTAATATGGGGCCAAGGGGTGGGTGAATTTCAGGGCAGGAGACTAATCATGTAGGGAGAGGGGTGGGGAACTCCCCTCCGCAGCTCGGAGGCCAACCCTGCTCAGACCAGAGGAATTGGGGCTGAGGCTAGTAGAGCAGTTGGCCTTTCTGAGAAGCTAAAGGCCCATGAAAGCCTCCACTGGCAGCCTCCGGGAGCTACCTGGAAGTTGGAAGGGAAGCTGGGAAGTCCTTTCTCCAGGAGGACGGAATCTTTCCCCAGCCCAGAGCTCCAGGGGAAGTCTGTGGGGATGAGGTCAGGGGAGACTTGCTCAGTGGGCGCAAGCCTTGGGGTGAGCTTTCCTCAGGGGACCCCTCTTCAGGGGGATTCCTCTTCCGGGGGAGCCCTCCTGGGGTGGAGGAGCACTCCTCGGGGCAAGTCCTCCTCAGAGAGAGCCCTCTTCAGGGGTGAACTCTCCCCAGGGGGAACGTTTCGGGGGAACTCTGAGGGAGAGCTTTCTTTACGGGGGGTGTCCTCTCAGGGGGAGCCTTCCTCAGGGGGAACCATTCTGCAGGGACCTCCCCTCAGGGGGAGCTCTATTTCCCCATGTCCCCCTTTCCCCTCAGTGTGGCTCCGGGCAGGCCCTCCCTCAGAGCAGGACACTCTCCTGCTTCCAACAGGACAAGATCAGGTGCCCTGATCCACACCCCAGCAGAAGATGGGGTCACACACCCCTCGCGGTAGAGGTCAGTTCTCTACTGATCTCGGGTTCATGGCTGGAAAAAAAAAAGATTAATAAGATAAAAGCAGATGAATGTATTTTTAAAAGTAACATGAACATGGAGTGGTTCGTGAGGAAATGAAGCTCTAAATATAGATTTGATGGAGAGCACGCTGTCAGAGAAGAACAGAGTGGACCAAAGGGTCTGATAGAAGACACCGAGGGAGATTTAGCAAGACCTGTGTGTTCAGATTCCTTCCTGTATCCCCGCTTCATCAGGGATGAGGACATCCCCTGCCTCCCCTATATGACACCTCTCCCAGGAACATCTTGGAGCCTGCTTCCGGGGAGAAGGGCGGGGGAAGATCAGAATCATCTTCTTGCGCATGTTGTTTTCTCAGATGACTTCAGTTCAACATATTTTCGTCCTGAACCCCATGGACACGGGTGCTTTTCCTTTCTAGGTCATGTGCCGTTTGTGGGAAAGCCTTAGGTCCTGCAGGAGTTTCAGCAAGTATGTAAGGAACGTGGCAAAGGCTATCTGAGAACCTTCCTCCTTGCACCCCAAACCGTGATGGTACCAGAGCATGGCCTCTTCTTCAGAGGTCAGAGAGGCTGAGGGCAGATCGCTGACCCTCTCTTCTCTGTGCTGCCTGGGATGTGGGGGAGCCTGTGACAGGACTGTCCTAAGAAATGGTTATGGTGTCAGCCCAGGGACCTGGGCCCCTTGAGATCCACTGTGAGCCAGGCGGGTGCTGCGTGCCCCAGCACCGTGCTGCTCTGAAACTGGCTGGTGGAAACAACTTGGGCAGGAAGGTGTTGAAGAGTCAGAACTTTCTTATTGAATAGAAGAACTCGTTTTAAGTGGAAAAATGACTCTTCACGTGACTTTTATGTGTTTTCCTCTTTACCCGTCAGGTTGCTGGCAGGAAGCAGAATTCTGCTCAGATGAGCTCAGAGACTTCATTGAAGACAGCGGGGAGGTGTATACAGGTCAAGGCCGGGAACCACAGGAAGCTGTTATTGCCCTTGACCAGAGGGACAAGAGGTCCAGTGGAAGCTTGGAGCTGCAGAGAAGGGGTACCTGGAGGGATAGTAGTCATGGAAAGACACAGATACAGCAGAGATAGAGCATCAAAGTGGGGGATCACTGGGGGGAAATCTTCATCCCCTGTCCCCTCCTCGTTGCCCACCCCACCAGAGGCCAGGTGGTAAGGAAGTTCTTGTGATGCAGGCCCTTCTGGTCAACTTCCTGATACACAGAAAGGCACAGAAGAGCACAGAATGGATTCCAGAGTAGGGTGCCAGTTGGAGAGGGATCGTGCATGCATTGATGTGTTGGTTGGGTATATTCTTCAGATACGGTATTATTATAGACTCTATTACAGAGAGGGTCCCTGCATTTTCACTCCTTGTACCCCCTTCTCCCCCACTTTGCCATACTTCTTGGGAACCACTCTTGTTCTCGTGAATCAGGAGGACGACCCTGAGCCTGCCACATACATATGAGACAGACTATGGGCTCTTTGAAAGCCTCGTTTCTTTTCCGTCCCATAGAAGTTGGTCAGTAAGTGTACAGTGAAGGAAGGGCATGGAGAGCATCTCCCTGTAAGACTTGCTCCCAGCCCTCTTCCACTGGATGGAGCCCTCTTGTGGAACACTTAGGGTAAAGAAGACATAGACTATGACCACACAAATGCTCACAGAGCTACAAATATGGGGAACGAGGCAGCTGGAGACTATTCCATTTTTTTTGTTGTTGTTG